AGACAACCTAAATTATCAATTGATTGTGTCGATATAGAAATTTTTATACATACTTATGTCACTCTTTATGGTGGTAATAATTAGTCTTGTCAAAGAATTGAGATGGAAAAATGAAAAAACTTCAAAAGGCGCTCCATGCAGAAAAATGCATGGAACTTTCAAAGTAGGCGTGGCTTAGCCATTACGTGATTGGTCGCTTTTTTTCCGCTTCACTGTGCTTCAATTATGATTTCAGAAAAATACAACAAAAAAAGTGTGATTGAGATCTATGCCTTCTTCTTTCATTGTGAAAAACATATTTTGTACTCTTATTTTTCCCAAAATTCCTCGGAATCTATGCATTGAGACCATCTCACCCACCTGAATCGCATGCATACTGCTATTTGTGACATTCACATGATCGATAATTGGTGATCTATAAAACATTTGTAAGCCAGCAGACTGGAAGCTGTCATTATGTCCAGATCCACCACCCACAATCTCCACATTACGCAACACGGAACCATCTAAAAACCAATATATCAATTTTTTCAAAATCAAAAGAAGTAGTGAAGGAGCCACCTTTAGTCGGAATCTGATCCAATTCTAGAGATGCGCGACCAAAGCTCACACCACCCCATCCTCCTATGTAGATCCTAAATTTTATTTTAAAAAATAGTAATCCAAATAGTTCAAAGACCAAAGATACTTACGGATCCAACGTTGAGTCCTTTCCGCAGTATACGTAGTTAAAATGCTCATTATCCATACATTGCCACTGCGAGTCGTTACCCGTAAGTCGAAGATTACATCTTTAAATCACAGGATTTCATTTTCCCAGGTTTTACATTTGGAACGAATATCAATTTCTCAACTGCATACCTGTCTAAACTCTCCTCATCTCCCCTACACTCTCTTGGTTCCACGTAGGTTTTAACTAGGCGAATTTGTGGATTATATTCCCATCTAGGTGTGAGCCAATGATAAGCGTTCATCGTCTCATAGCCTAGCTCCCGACAAACAACCTGAAACAGAGCACATGTTGGAAGAGGTTTACACCGTGGCCCTTGCGAGAACTGGTCCCCAAGGAAACCAAAACTTGTCAGTAATTTAACACGGTAAAAGTACAGCAATTTTGGAAAAGAATCCCGCAAGTTAGTATTTGATGTCGCATTTTGGGAGAAATTACTGGTCATACCCAGAAACTAGCTCATACAACAATAAATTGCTTTTATCAATGGAATAAACTAATAAAAAAGGAAAAAATAGTCGGTTACAATTCCTTGGGACCATTTCTGGTCCGAATGATGGTATAACTTCGAGCACACCTATTTCTTGACTATGCACTTTCTGAACTTAAAGCAAAACTTGCTTGATACCTGAGCATTCCTAACGGTGAATTGTCTGTCACATGATGGAATCACTTCTCCAGTTGTGGCATTGTATATCTGTAATTATTATCCTAAGTTCGAGAGAAGGCGCGATAGAAAAAAATTTTAAAATTATGTAATTAAAGCAGAATCCAGTAACGTATCCTATATGTGAAGTAGAATAACTGAAGTACTGAAGCGCTCATACGCTTTAACTTTGGCAAGAAAACGTAGCGTACATAGAAGAAATTAGAACAAAAATTAGCGTGTATTACCTCCAAAAATCCAGCTCTTT